TATGCTTGGAGTTGTTTATTATAATATCCTTCATTTTAATATCTGTGTTTATATTTCCTATTTCATTCTTTTAAACATTTTTTTAGTTATCAATGGATTATTATTTTATTCATTTATATGTAGTGGTAAGAATCGAACTCAGTTCCTCACACATGCTAGGCAAGCACTCTACCACTGAGCTACAACCCTAGCCCTCCTATTTCATTCTTGATATTTTAAATTTCAGATATTATATTTTTAGTTCAAAATATCCATTTGATTTTTGTTTATATCTTCCATTTTTTGCTGAATTCTTCTACTTTTAATATTTGTTCCAAGATTGTTATTGCTCATCAATCATATTTATAATGCATAAATTTTATAACACATAATTTTAATGTCTTATTGTTTGTAACTATTGTTTGTCTTTTTCCACATGATGGAGATTTTCATGGTTCTTTGCATGCTGATTTTATTAGTTAGCTTTGAATTACTACCATGAACTATCTGAGGCAGCTAAACTATAAAAGAAAAGTTTATTTAGCTCCTAGTTTTGGAGGTGCCGAACATTGGTTTGGCCTCTGCCAAGAGTGGCAGATGGCACCACATCATGGTGGGAGTGCATGTTGTAACAGCAGTGGTCACATCTCAAACAGGAACAGAAAGAGTTGATGGGTAGGGCCAGGTTTGTTCCTTTTATCACAATCCACCAGGAATTCAAGGGGTCACATGAGAACTACCAAGCAGTTGCACAAAACTACCTTAATATGTTCCCAATTACCTAAGGACCTTCCACTAGGCATCCCCTCCTAACATTACCAACCTTTTAACCAAGCCTTCAATCACAATGTACCCTTGGGAGACATAATAAAATCATATCCAAACCACAGCACTGATAGATTTTGTATTCTGGAGATTGTAATTATTATTTTGAGATTATGAATCTTGTTTACATTGTATGGCGAAGGTTGACATTTTTCTTCTAGCCTTCTGTGTATCATAGTTCCAACATCAATTCAATTTTCAAAGCTTTTGCAGTAGTACTATTTAGGGCTGTCCTATATGTGCACCACCTAGTGGTCAGTCTGGTATCTGGATAAAAGTCTTCTTGCTAGTGTTGGGGCTGGGGCTCAGTGGTAGAGCACTTGCCTAGCATGCGTGAGGTACTGGGTTTGATCCTCAGCACCACATAAAAATAAACAAATAAAATAAAGGCATTCTGTCCACCTACAACTACAAGAAAATTTTTAAAAAGCCTTCTTGCTAATTGAGTCTTCAGATCTTTGGTATGGTAATTAGGATCAAACACTCACAGATCGCAGATAAAATCTTGACTCTTCCCTGTCTTTTTGGTACTTTCCAGTTCCCTAGGATCCCATTTTCTGTCCTCTACTCAGAAACTACTCATTGTCATGTCCAGAAAAAGTTGCAAGAGGATAGAGGAAACACTTGTATGAAGTCTACTTGTGTCCTCCTGACACTGTCTCAACCTACAGAAAAAATCTCATGCCATGGTTGAGTTTTGATTCCTGGAGGCTTCATTCTGGGCCACTCATGTTTCTGGCCACTTTTCCTATTGCCACTTTTACTGTGGAACCGAACAAGTAGAGTAAATAAAAACCCAAGGGATTTTAGGGGAAATTTCTCTGATCTCAATTTCTCATTTCCATATCTTAAGCTCAGACTATAAGCTTTCTTGTGCATCTGACTGTCTGCTAAAGAATGCTCACTTCTAGGTTTCATGCCATATTGAATTCAGGCTCAGGACACTGAAGGAGAAAAATATAATGTTGAACTTCCAACTGTTTAAGTGGTCCTTTATACATACTCTGGTGTTCTTCCCTGATTCACCCGCTTATATGTCTATTTACTTTTCAGTATTCATATCTGTGTCCAGACATTCTATCAAGGTTTTATATTTGTGTTAGTGAGAGATTAAAGAAGTTTCCAGAATCAGATCCAGCTGTATGTTTTATAGACAACAACAAAAAATGCACTGTTTTATAGTTGGATCTTGCTTTTTTATCCAATAAGACAATCTTTGTCTTTGGTGTGGCTTTAGGCAATTCATGATGAAAGTGATTTTTATATAATTGGATTAAAATCTACCACATTGCAAACTGTTTTCTATTCATTGTATTTGTTCTTGCTATTTCTTATTCATTGTATTTGATTTGGTTCTTTTCCCCCTCTTTTTCCTTAACTTTTCTCATTATATTTTGTCATTTAAAAATTTTAAACTGATACACAAAAATTGTACATGTTTCTGGGATACCAGAAATAAACACTGCACAGAAAAATAAGTACCACATGATTTTACTCACATGTGGAACCTAAATGGTTGTGCTCATAGATATTGAGAGCAGAATGGTGGTTTCTAGAGTCTGGGGAAAGCAGTGGGATGGAGGAAGGTTGATCAATTGATACTAATTTATAATTATAAAGGAGCAGGAAGTTCTGGTGTGCTATTGCATTGTGAATATTTGATCATTTTTATTATCTCATTTTATCTCCTGCATTTACTTAATATTTAAGTGTTTTGTGGGTTGTTTTTTGTTTGTTGGTTGGTTGGTTGGTACTGGGGATTGAACCCAGGGATGCTTAACCACTAAGCCACATCCCCAGCCTTTTTTTTTTTTTTTTTTTTTAGTAGTTGAACACAATACCTTTATTTTATTTATTTATTTTTATGTGGTGCTGAAGATCGCTCCCAGGGCCACGCATGTGAGACAGGGTCTCACTGAGTTGCTTAGGGGCTTGCTAAGTTGCTGAGGCTGGCTTTGAAATAGTGATCCTCCTGCCTTAGCCCCCACCCCGCAAGCTGTAGGGTTTACAGACATGTGCTAGTGTGCCTGGCCCTTCTTTTGATTTTTGAAATATAGTTTTGTGAATTTAGAATTCTAGATTGGCACTTTTTTCTTTCAACACTTTAAAAATTTCATTCCTCTGACTTTTTTGCTTATGTGATTTCTGACAAGAAGTCTAGTATAATTCTTCTCCTTGTTTCTCTGTAGGTAACATGTTTACCACCTACCCTTTCCTTCCTGGCTCCCTTCAAGATTTTATTTTTTTGTTATTTTTCTTGTTTGTTTGTTTTGGTACTGAGAATTAAACTCAGGGGCATTCAACCACTGAGCCACATCCCCAAACCTATTTTGTATTTTATTTAGAGACAAGGTCTCACTGAGTTGCTTAGTGCCTCGCTATGTTGCTGAGGCTGGCTTTGAACTCACGATCCAAGTGTCTCAGCCTCCCAAGCCACTGGGATTACAGGCATGCCCAGCTCAAGATTTTATTTTTGTCCTGATTTTCTGCAATATGAATTTGATATTTATGGGTGTGTTTTTGAAATTTACTATGCTTGGTGTCCTCTAATTTTTTAGATCTATTTTTTGGTGTTAATCACTAATTTTGGAAATTTTTGGTTACTATGCTTTCAAATATTTCTTCTGCCCTGCTATTTCTTCCCTCTCTGTTTTCTAAGCACATATATGTTACACTTCTAGGTATTGTTCCACAACTATTATTTTGTGCAGTTTTCTTTTTTTCATTTCTTTCTTTCTTTCTCCTTTTTCCTCCATTTCTTTTGCACTTAATTTGATTATTTCTTACACTTTCCATCCACCTTCTGAAATCATCTGTGTGATCATTCATGATTACCTTTTCCAATAGAGCCTTTAACACATTAATAATATCTATTTTAAATCCTCTGATAAATCAAAAATCTTCATCATAACTGAGTCTGGTTCTGATGACTGCATTGTCTCTTTGGACTTTTATTCTATCCTAGATTCTGCCTTTTGGGCTGCTTCCTGGAGACAATCTATCTCTTGCATCTTTTATATATATATATTTCACTCCTTTTTCTTTTTGGTATCAGGGATTAAACCCAGGACACTTAACTACTGAGCCACATTCTCAGCCTCCCTTTTTTTCATTTTGAGACAGGGTTTCACTAAGTTGCTTAGGTTCTCACAAAGCTGCTGAGGCTAGCCTTGAATTTAAGATCCTCCTGCCTCAGCCTCCTATGTCACTGGGATTACAGGCATGTGCCACCATGCCCAACTTCACTATTATTTTTAGCCTGGTAGTGAGGAATAGGAGACTAGAGCATTCCATGTTATTCTGATTAAGTCAGTCTTAGGCAGGTTTACCCTGCGTGTTGGAGGTATGACTTTCACAAGTATTTCTGTCCCTCCTCCAAATGTAATGGTGGACCTAGCATATTTTCCTGCCCCTCCTGGATTATAACTCTTTCCTTCATTTCTCTCCTTTAAATATACAGAGTTTTCACCAGTGCTCTCAGTTTTGTTGCCCTTCCTTCTGCAGTTTAAGGGGGGTTTCCCCCTCAGAAGAATAGGGTAGATTTGTCTGGTATTGACCATTGCACTACCAGCAGCAGTGAGTTTCCACCAGTGCTCTCATCTACAGATTTTTGTTGCCTTTCTCCATAAATATTAAGGCTTTTTTTTAACCCCATAGAGAATATAGAGGCAATGGTCTCAGCAGAATTTCAGCAATGGTTATTTGTTCCAATTTCCTCCCCAATCCAGAACTACAAGATATCTTTCTCAGGATCCTTCTCAGTCTTCCCTGACAGCACCTGGTAGAATTCCTGGAAGAAAATAACAAAAGGATATGAAACCATCTATGTCTACAGACCCTATGTGCTTCACATTCTCACATTGGCCCACAACTAGCCTTTAGCAATTCATTTATAAATTTTAGTTGCATCTTCTTAGGAGTTTATATGTTGCTCATCAGTATCTGCCCCAGGTAAGCAAATGCCTGTGTCCTCTTGCTCCCAGCAGATGCCTGTTTTTACATGTTTGCGATTAGCTATTTATCCTGCAACCTCAGTTTATTATGAGTTCAAAGAAAGTCATTAGTATGCAGTTTTCAGCTTTTTTTTCCTTTGTAATGGTGGGAGAGATGTTCTTTTCAACTCTACATCTCTGAGCTAATGCCAGAATATTATATAGTTCTGGGGATAAGCTTTTGACTCTCTGTTTGTCTTCCAGCATCCATACCCCAGTTTACCAATTCCCCAACGATGGTGATCATGGTGGGTTTACCAGCTAGAGGCAAGACCTATATCTCCACGAAGCTCACACGATATCTTAATTGGGTAGGAACACCAACTAAAGGTATGTCTCTGAAACCTTCTGTTATATATCCCTCCTGCAGACACTGGTAGAAAACTGAGTAAGGTAGGGGGCCAAAACCCTCAGTGTCAAAAATGCCTCATCACCATTATTACCTGGATTACATTACTACCATTATTACTACTAATATTATATCACTGCTACTACATTCTTATAAATTTTATAATTTCTTGAGTACGTACTCTATGCCCAGTCCCATGATGGGTGGTAAGCACATGAAAACTAGTATTAAGACTTAGTGCTGCTGGGCATGGTAGTGCATACGTATAATCTCAGTGGCTCAGGAGGCTGAGGTAGTAGGATTGCAAGTTCAAACCTAGCCTCAGCAACTTAGCAAGACACTAAGCAACTTAGTGATACCTTGTCTCAAAATGAAAATGAAACTATAAAATAAAAGGGCTGGGGATGTGGCTCAGTGGTTAAGTGTCTCTGGGTTCAATCCCTGGTACAAAAAAAAAAAGACTTAATGCCTGCTCTCAAGATGTTTCATGACCACAAAAACAACCTTCTGAGAGCAATATACTAGTTTTATTATCATTGCTATAATTGCACTGCCAACATCACTACTCTTATTAGCATTATCACATCTTCATCATTTCATAATTGGAGAAATTAAGGCCAAAGAGATGAAATGCCTTGTCTAAAGGCAAATAGCTGTAAGTGACAGAACCAGGATATGTTTGACTCCAAGCCTGACACTTATTGTGCTAGACCTAATGCATTGGCCCTACTGATAGGAAGAGAAAAATATTCCTATATTGGTTCTGTACTCTCCTTTTCTCTATTCACTTCCTCTCTGTATTTCCCTTGCCCATCCCAACATCCTATCCATATACCCTTTTCCCTCCATTCATCTTTCTTCCCTTTCTTCAAGTTTTCTCTCTCTGCTTGCAATTGAACCCAAAGCCTAGTACATGATAAGCACACAATACTGCTGAGTTACATCCTAGACCCCAGATCCTCTCTTTGCCCCCCTCATTTATTCTTTCCCTACTCCACCAATGGAGAGTTTTCCAATAGTTTTCCATGTGCCAAAACACATGCCGGGCATTGAGGATGAAAAAACAGAATAGACTGTGCCCTGTCCTTAAAGAGTTCTTAACTTGATTATGATACATAAGAATACCTCATATCACCTAGAAGTCCCTGAGCAAGGTGCTTAGGGGGCTTAGAAATGAAATTTTCAACTGGAAGGCAATAAAAACTTCCCAGATTGGGTATATTTATGCTAGGTCATATGAGAGGAGGGTAACATAGCAGAAGGGAAGGTGAGAAGGAACCACTCTCAGGGAGGACTACAAGCTCTGAGGAACCTATGCTGAGTGGAGGGACACATGGTACTGTGGCACATGGGTCTTTGCTATGACCCCCCTCTTCCTATCTGCTCCATTCTACTCACTCCTCACAGAGGCCTACATAGTCTTTTTTCAAAGCACAAAGCAGACATAACTATAGCCTTTAAGAGTCCCCTTGAGCTGCAGGTTTAAACCAAGGCTCCTTAGCCTGTCATTCAAGGCCTCCACAATTGGTCCCTTCCAGCCTCTCAGGCCCCAACCCCAGTGGATTGACACACCATCCACAAATAGTCTCATCTGCTGATACTATCTATACCTTTGCTTGAGCTATTCTTTTCCAGGAATGCCCTTGTTTCCTACCCTCATTTCTATGCATACCTATAAAAGGCACCTACCCCAGTAAGCATGTTTCAATGCCACTTTCTCTAAGAAATCTCAGATCAATCCAGATGGAATTTGTCTCTCCTTCTCCCTCACTCTTTTGCATAACTCTATATTGTTCGCCAGAGCACTTAACAAATTACATGGGAACTCTATCTTTACTGGTTAATTTGATGTCCTACCTGCTGGTTTGTGAGCTCCTTGAAGGCCCCATCATGAAGACCTGGTTATTCTCTGAGATCCAGAACTCATATCCTTCTTCACAGAATTGTCATCAATAGTATTTGTTAGATGAATGAGTGAAATATTCCCTGCTTGGCTTCTTATCCTCTTATCCTTCATTCCTTTTCTCCCCTATGACTTTTCACCATTACAAGTAGGAGAGTATGGACTAGAGATTTAGATTTAAATTCTTTGTCCTGATACAGAAAAATGAAATAGCACTAGGCAGGAGTTAGAAGGCCTAGTGTATGTCTGTTACTACTTCACTCAGTTTGACCCTGGTGATTGATTGATTTTACTTCCTGAATCTCTGTCTCTTCATCTTTCCAGTGGAGTAAGACATTGAGAAGGTTGCAGTTTATGATAAAATAGAATAATTTTAGAGCCAAACATACTTGGGTTTCAATCCTAGATCCCCACTTTTTAACTGTGAAAGTTATTTTCTATCTCTGAACTTCACTTTCCTCATTTATAAAGTGGGAGTGGTCATCCATATAACTTGCAGGGCTGTTATGAGGAAAATAATGGGCTGGTAGTTTATAATTTGAATCTTTACATGCACATTTTGTTGCTTAAAATTATACCTTCTTCTACCTCTGAGTCCCTCTAAGCAAGGACATTTTTTGGCCACTGGGATCTTCCCAACCTCTTCACTAGGGCTCCCTGCTTTCAGTGTTTAATTTAGGCCAGTATCGACGAGAGGCAGTGAGCTACAAGAACTACGAATTCTTTCTCCCAGACAACATGGAGGCCCTACTTATCAGGAAGTAAGTACCCAACATATTACGGACCTGTGCTACCCGTTGGCTGAGGGAGGCCTTTCTTCAGATCATGGGAGAGTGGGACAGAGTAACCTGGGTAAGAGACAAAGCCCTACTCAAAGGGTAATTGGGACATCCCTGCTCAAATCCTGCTAACCATCTTCTTATCAGGAACCTTTTATGTTCTTCTACTTCTAACAGGAGAGTAGAAACTTCTTAGCCTAGCATTTGAGATGAAAGTCTAAATAGCTTGGCCAACCTTAAGATCTCTTTCCCCTATGTGATTCTGAGTACTTCCACAATGGAGCCTGGGTCTCATTTATTAATCCATGTCCTCACCATAGAACCTAGCTACAAGTAATCACTAAAGAGATTTTTTTTGCTGAAAATACATTGCCACTGTAATGCCTACACTTACAATATTACTCATGCCACGACATGACTTTAACTTTAAAGACCACACACCTAAGCCCTACTTGGGTTGATATGATATTTAGCTTGAGTTTCCTTATCACAAGCATTGAAACACTTAAAATTGGGTCTGCTGTCATTACTTAGACTTTCCCAAACATGTCACTTTATTCCTGCCTCTAAGCTGTACACGCAGATCCAATTACAACTGTTTGACCCCTCTGTACTTGGCATGGTGCCTAGAACATAGTACATCCTGTGTAGATGTTCAAAGGATGAATAATTTAGTGTAAGATATATGAGAGATGGTACAAACGATAATGCAGAAAAAGAGAGAGAAAACCATCTTGGAGATAAGGGTTGTCTGTTTCTTTCTGTATATTTTTCAGGCAGTGTGCATTGGCAGCCCTGAAGGATGTTCATAACTATCTTAGCCATGAGGAAGGTCATGTTGCGGTAAAGAAATTTCCATTATTTTCTTTGGGCATCTGCTGGAATGGAAAATAGCTAATATATACTGAGAATTAACTATTCCATATATTATTCTAAGTACTTTGCTCATATTAATAATTTAGTTGCACACTACCCCCATGAGATATTGTCATGCCCCATTTGAAAGCCTGGAAGAATGGAACAGAGAGATTACATAATTCCCCAAGGTAGCACAACATGTATATGGTAGGGCCCAAACTGAAATCCAGATTGTGTAGCTTGGTAATCCCCACTCTTAACCACTGTGTACTACTAATGAACCCCTAAGAATTCAGCAGGGCTCTACTGGAATATAAGACTACAGTACAAACATTTTTGAGTTCTAGAGATTTACCTATACATCCCCAATTTCTAAAGGAGGAAAAGATTCTTAAATTTGCAAAGGGTCTGATCTAAGTTGCTGAGATTAGGGAGTTGTTTCCTACTCTTAAGGACTTTTAAGTTGTTAAGGAAGGAAGAGGCCTCATGTAGGACTTGAGTAAACCAATAGCTCTGCTCTGTCAGCAACTCTTAGTGACTAGTGAAGGTAAGTCTTTCTTCTATGCCTAAGTTACTCCACCTGTAAAATAATCCTAATAAAAACCTACAGTTTTTCTTTTGCCTTATTATACTCACAGGATCTGGTACATTTCTGGGCAGACAGAAAGTGCTTGATAAGTGTTTGTGAAATTGAGATAAGTTAATTCTTCCTTTCCTTCAAGATCCTCTAAAAAGTCTACCGCTTCCTAGAAGCCCTCCACTTAGCACAGACATGGAAAAAGAGTGAGTGTTCTGTCAACACTAGATACAGAGTAAGCCAATTTCATTACCTATCTCTAGGTTTTTGATGCCACCAACACTACCAGAGAAAGACGGTCACTGATTCTGCAGTTTGCAAAGGAACATGGGTACAAGGTACAGTAATAGTCCCATTCTTGTCTAGAACCTACTTATCCAGTACAAACTCCAAAGAAAGACTAAATAGGATACTCAGAACAACCAAATTGGCCACCATAGGCTCAATATATTCATTTGGTTGTCTGGTTTTCCGGAGCATAGTCAGAAGCAGCAAAACAGAATAGGAAAGGAGATGTACCACATTAGGCAATGGAAAATGGTTACTGACAGGTTGACACTGAGGGTGGGGCATGACAATGATGAAGGAGATGAGAACAACTACAAAAAAATACAACAGACTTTAAAAGCAGTAAAAACATAAAACAACAATCCAGGGTCATTTAGTTTAAGGCCAGGATAGCTCATAAAACTCAAGCCTGAAACATCACTGTATGAGATTCTATTGTCAGGCATGCCCCTGGAGATCACTCAGGGGGAGAAGGGATACATCTATGTTTGGCTCCTACCAAATATAATTCCCAGTTGGAACATCCCCTTTCAGAGTTAGAGATCAAACCTCTGTCTCTCTTTCTTTCTATCTTTCAGAGCTGGGTTTAAACCCAAGGCTTCATGCATGCTAGGCAAGACTTTTACCACTGAACTACATCCCCAGACTTAGACATCTTTTTTTATGTTTCTCTTACAGGTCTTTTTCATTGAGTCTATATGTAATGACCCTGACATCATTGCAGAAAACATCAAGGTAAGGAGCAACAGTTACTTTTCCTTCTTAGTTTTTGCTGTCTTAGTTTTGGCTCCTACCTAAAGATCTCTGTAAGATGTTTTTTTTTGGTACCAGGGATTGAACCTAGGGGTGCTTAACCACTGAGCCATATCCACAGCCCTTTTTATTTCTTTTCTTTTTTTTTTATAATTTTTATTGTTGGTTGTTCAAAACATTACATAGTTCTTGATATATCATATTTCACAATTTGATTCAAGTGGGTTATGAGCTCCCATTTTTACCCCATATACAGATTGCAGAATCACATCAGTTACACATCCATTGATTTACATATTGCCATACTACTGTCTGTTGTATTCTGCTGCCTTTCCTATCCTCTACTATCCCCCCTCCCCTCCCCTCCCCTCCCCTCTTCTCTCTCAGCCCCCTCTACTGACATTCGTTTGTCCCCCTTGTATTATTTTTCCCCTTCCCCTCACTTCCTCTTGTATGTACTTTTGTATAACTCTGAGGATCTCCTTCCATTTCCATGCATTTTCCCTTCTCTCTCCCTTTCCCTCCCACCTCTCATCCCTGTTTAATGTTAATCTTCTTCTCATGCTCTTCGACCCTACTCTGTTCTTAGTTACTCTCCTTATATCAAAGAAGACATTTGGCATTTGTTTTTTAGGGATTGGCTAGCTTCACTTAACATAATCTGCTCTAATGCCATCCATTTCCCTGTAAATTCTATGATTTTGTCATTTTTTAATGCAGAGTAATACTCCATTGTGTATAAATGCCACATTTTTTTTATCCATTCATCCATTGAAGGGCATCTAGGTTGGTTCCACAGTCTAGCTATTGTGAATTGTGCTGCTATGAACATCGATGTAGCAGTGTCCCTGTAGCATGCTCTTTTTAGGTCTTTAGGGAATAGACCGAGAAGGGGAATAGCTGGGTCAAATGGTGGCTCCATTCCCAGCTTTCCAAGAAATCTCCATACTGCTTTCCAAATTGGCTGCACCAATTTGCAGTCCCACCAGCAATGTACAAGTGTACCCTTTTCCCCACATCCTCGCCAGCACTTGTTGTTGTTTGACTTCATAATGGCTGCCAATCT